CTCATTTTATTACCAAATAACTGCAAACCAAACGTCATAAGTTATTTTCATGACAGAAGATGAAGTTATAGATTAAAATTAATCAATTCACTTAACCAGGTAATTGAGCTGATCACCCATAGAAAGGAGTGATAATATGTACATTATTCGGTTAGCAGTTATTTTTTCTCACAGGACTGTTGATACGATTTTAGATGTTTATCAAGAGATGCATGCAGGAACGAAAGGTGAGATATCTTTTGGAAATATGGGAGGGGAACTTACTTACTAACGCCTGTTACTCCTCGTGAAGGAGCATAGGCCGCTCACCAGCATTCTCCATCCAACCCTGTCCTGGGCAATCCTTTCCAGCTCCGTCCAGTTGTAATTCATCGTTTTCATATCTGCTTCTATTATCCGACGCAATGTGTTCTTTGGCTTTCCTCTTTTTCGCTTCCCTTCAGAATCCCAAGTTAGGGCTTGCCTCGTGATGCAGTTCGACGATTTGCGTAATGTATGTCCTATCCATTTCCATCGTCTTTTCCTAATTTCTTCTTCAGCTGGAAGTTGGTTTGTTCTCTCCCACAGAAGGCTATTGCTGATGGTATCCGGTCAATGGATGTTGAGTATCTTGCGTAGACAGTCATTGATAAATACTTGTACTTTCCTGATTGTGGTTGTTGTAGTTCTCCAAGTTTCAGCTCCATACAGTAGAACTGCCTTGACATTCGTATTGAAGATTCTGACTTTGATATTGGTTGAAAGTTGTTTCGAGTTCCATATGTTCTTCAATTGTAGGAATGCTGTCCTTGCTTTGCCAATCCTCGCCTTTACGTCTGCATCTGAACCTCCTTGTTCATCGATGATGCTTCCCAGATATGTGAAGGATTCTACATCTTCCAGAGTTTCGCCATCAACAGTGATTGGATTGCTGTTCTCCATTTTGAATTTGAGGACCTTGGTTTTCCCCTTGTGTATGTTGAGGCCTATTGATGCAGAGTCTACTGCTACACTGGCTGTCTTTATCTGAATTTGTTCATGTGTATGCGATAGGAGGGCTAGGGCGTCTGCAAAATCCAAATCGTCTAATTGATTCTGAGCTCTCCATTGTATTCCGTGTTTTCCCTCAGATGTCGAGGTCTTCATAATCCAGTCGACCACCAGAAGAAAGAGGAAGACAGAGTAAGCAGCGCTTTCTGACTCCGGTCCTTACTTGGAATGCATCTGTCAACTGTCCTCCATGCACTACTTTGCACTGTAGTCCGTCGTATGAGTTCCGGATAATATTGACAATCTTCTCAGGAACTCCATAGTGTGGAAGAAGTTTCCACAACGTCCTCCTATCTTCACTATCGAATGCCTTTTCATAATCAATGAAGTTGATGTATAGTGATGAGTTCCACTCAACTGATTGTTCGACGATGATCCGTAGTGTTGCAATTTGGTCTGTGCACGACCGATTCCTACAGAATTCAGCCTGTTGATCTCGAAGTTGGGCGTCTACTGCGTCTTTCATCCGGTTCAGCAACACTCTGTTAAAGACTTTCCTTGGTATTGACAGTAGTGTGATGCCTCTGTAGTTTTCACATTTGCTCAGATCCGCTTTCTTTAGAATCTTGACGAGGTGTCCTTCTTTCCAGTATGGGAGGGGAAAGTGATTGTTATATGGGACTGATTTTAAAGTCACTCATGAACTGTGATTTTACTGAAAAGTCAGTAAGAGGTGGGTAGGTACGGTACTGACATGAGTTGATTTTACGTTAATAATTATTGAATCCATTTTCCCTTTGAAACTCATTAATTATAGGATGTGGCTAAATGAGAAAACAACATAAAATGTTGTTTATCAAAGATTTTAATTCACATTGTTGCTACAAGTTTGAATACTTTATCGGGTAATTAATTATATCGCTAAACCTACCATTCTACATTATTTAGTTGTTTTTTTACATTAATTATAAAAGTTACACCAGAAACAGAGTTATATTTATGCTAAATAAAACATATTCGTAGTTAACGCAGATCGAGTGTTATAATCTGATATTTGTTCGGACCAGTGAAATATAAAGTGCTGGAAAAAGGAGGGATCGTATTTGCGTCAATTAGTGTTGTAAATGTAAAATTCGTTTATAAAATCTTATTATTGAGGGAGGGGGGAACTGTGGAGATTATTGAAGTCTGTAAGTTCTAACACAGAATGAATTTAATCAGACAAATATTGAAAACCATGAAACACTGAACTACTGTATTATTCTGGTACAGGACCTTACAGCAATGAGGATTCTCACCCCCCTATTGAAGGTCCACCAATGGTATTAGAAGATGGTTGCTTCATATGATGAATTAATTGAAGTAGAAACTTAAAACACTTTAATGTCAACTCAATAGCATATGGGTTTAAGCGTCAGTCGCTAGACCTTAAGGTTGTGCGTGCGATGCAAGGTGGGATCGTGAATGAGCACTACTGAGGAGTCGCATACGCAAACTAAACAGCACTCCAATGTTTCCTGCTTTTCAGCAATTGTGTAGCTGCAATCAGTCTGTGCTGTACATGGTAAAAACCATACCAGTCTACTTTATCCTGTCAATCAGTTGTTTCTTTTTCGGACCTGAATGAATTTTTCAGGAAATCAGCCAACTGATTTACTTCACATGCGATCGTCGATTCCAAAAAACCAATACGAGCCATGTGTCTTGCTGGACATCTTTAATTTTGATTTCATTATAATAATTCTTTAATAAAAAGTGGAAATTGAATATTGATTTGTATAAGACATAACTAAAAAACAACTCAGTTTATTTTACGAACTGGATTTGTTTATCATTGAGGTGAGATAATATCAGATTACATATGGTGAGATTTTCTAAAGAAAACAAATTGATGCAAAATCGAAACCAGATTAATTCACTTGCAGAGGAATAATATGACAACATTTATTATATATTGTGTTCAAGTATGGTCAATTAATCTACTATTTAAAGTATTTTCATGACCTCCTAACATACAGAAGGTTAATTTGGTAGTTCAGAGCAGGTGAAACGACTGGATTTACCTTAAGAGGTTGTTTAGTTTCTCCTTGTAGATACTGACGCTTTGGAAGAAGTGATTACCGATATTTCTTTGTAAAGTATTTCTTTTTACTGTTCTTAAGGACGGTAATTCTTTACAGTAATTTAATATTTAATCGCAGATCAGGCAATAAATGGATATTATTGATATCATAAACCGATCTACGTTAGACCGCTACTGAAGATGTGAAAGGACTGTACGCCCGTTTCGTCTTAGTTCGGTTCATGACTTTAATCTCCACAAACCTATGCTAATACTAAATGGATGAATGCGTTATTTTATTCAAAGTATTTCAGAATACTTAAATCAGTATTAGATTATGGATTTGTGGAGATTATCCTAGTGTTAAGTGATTGGAGGTAGTCAGGATAAAAATCAGTAACTAGCCTTCAAGTTAGTTGGCATTTATCAGAAAGAAATCCTCGTAATCTTGAAAAGACTGGTTCTCCCAGTAAGATACGAGCTTGCATCACTCAGCTTCACAATCGGAGGCGTTATCACTGAGCTACTTGAGTTGAGACTGATATCCTATAAGATTGAAATATTTAGATTGATTGGGTTCGTGAAAATTAATTTTTTTTCATAACTCATGTAATCGATTTCATGCTGATTTCTACGATAAAATATAACTAATTCTGTAGTGTTACGATATTCATTAATCTAAGTAGTGCATTATTACTAATTAAAAATCATAGTAAATTTGGAGTTTTTCTCGAAGTGATAATGTTTTTTTATTAATTTAATTACCACCTTTACTTTTAACTCGATATAAAAAAAGCACACATCTGTTTTTAATACTCCAGAATAAAAAAATCTAAACTATAGCATTAACTGACTAGTTTCAATTAAGACGCCAAACTCATAATCATCATTTTAGGGTTAGCGAAAAAAAGAGTATCCAAGTGTAAAAGGAAATATTTAAGAGAGACGAAATTTTTCGAATTTTAATTCAGATTGTAATATTTTAAATCAACATTAATTTATGGAATGAATTCACTGGAAAATATGTTCAACACTATTACTATTATAACTATTAATGATAATGGTAATAGTAATCATTATTAGTATAAACTATCGTAAAGTAAAGACGGGAGGACAAATAATCAAAGTACACAAGTGCCGTAAAAAAAGCATTAAAAATTTCTTGTCTAAGAAACCATTAAAACAGGCATTATCAATTTGTTTCTAAGCTTTATATGAACATGTATAAGATGATAATAATAATAATAATAATAATAATAATAATAATAATAATAATAATGTCTTGTCGTCATGATATCTTTATCGAACATTTTTATAAAAATAGTAATAATAATTAAATGCACCGATAATTCACAGGTAATGATATACATGCATCGAAATTGAAACACTGTAGAAGAAATGGATGAGTGGATACATAAGTAATTTTCCATACGGATTGAAATCAGTCAGAGTACTTAAAAGTAAACTAGAAATTATGTCTTTTCGGAAAATATACACATATTTCATTACTAGTATCAACCTGATCATGCCTATAAACTTGCATACATTTTGTACTCATTTTTTGGATATTTTACAATGATCACAACTATTATATTAGTTGAAAGGTGTAATAAATTGGTTACTGAGCAGTGAGTAGCCGATGTCTTGAATGTCATGTAATCAAGGTCTAGTAATCATTAACTTCAATGTGACCACTAGTTCAAGCGACTGAACATCGTGTACACTATGTTGAGATATTAGGTATTTAGAAGTAGTGTCGCTAGGAAAGCTTGTAATTCATACTAATTACCCCTCATCAGTACGGCATATCTATGATTTTGAGGGAAATGATGTTTCCTGTGCGATTTGAACACGCATTATCCAGCTTCATAGTCTGATTAGTTTTAGGCATCTGAAGTATGGTCTACAAAATAAACCATGTTTCCTTCTTTGGATAAAACCACAACCGTCAAAAGAAAGATCAACTTACATGTAAGTTGTCGAAGGTTTCAACTTATTTAAACAATATTGCATCATTTTCTTTTGTAATTGTTGTTGAACTGAATTCGAAGTATCAGGTGTCACTGAAATGTTTGGTAGTTTAGTACTGGAATTCATTGGATGTTTTTTATGATCCATAAGATATGGTGCAGGTATTTGAATGAATTTCACATTTGACGAATTTATACGAGATTTAGACGTGGATTTATGATGATTATTAATTCGGGTAACTTCTATCATAAAATCTGTTTATTTATTTATTTAAAAAAAAGAAATATGAAATATTACAGTATTGAAATGAATTTATACAGAAAATGGTATTCAGCAATAGTAAAAAGGAGAAGAACAATGACGAGTGGATTTGGGACTTGGTTCGACATGGTTTGTATGAATTCTACAGAGAGGTTATAACTGGTATAGTTTATTCATGTGAGGGATGATAAAATCATTACTAGTGGTACTAAACAATCATGATGTAACATGAATCTGTCGACAAAATGAAACTAGAAATCTGTAAACAAAGGATTTATAGATTATTATGTTTGGATTGTGGCTAACAAATAATAACCTAAAATAGTTACACACTTCCATAGATAATATCAAAACAGAAATCCTGACTTTCAAGTTCTTTCAAGAGACCTTGATATTTTCTTGAGAAAGACCTTAGAAGCCGAAAAGATACTGAAAATACTTCGGCCAATAAGTGTTCATTACGAAATTCCAACATAATTCTAGGAAATGAGGAATTATCTCACCATCATTGTGAATAGATGATCTTGTTATTAATTTTAGTACATTTTCCAAAAGCTTTTGGAATCTCAAGGTCACATATATACCTATAGAAACCCTTTATTATTTGTACATAATCTAACCCACGAAGTCAAGTCTCTTTCATACTTTCCACCTTCTGTTTTCGACTCGCAGTTCAAGACTGGAAGATTTTTTCACACTAGGAAACCAACAGGAAAGTGGTGTCGAAGCGTTCATTTGCAAGATATCAGATTAAACTCTAATTTACCGCTTATTTTAAAATAAACATGAAAACCTAGCAACTACTGAAATATATTGAAAATTTTTTCGCAATTTCACTGAAATAAATATATGCAAAAAAAACTCACTTGTAATAGGACTTCCATTACAGTGAGGTATAACCCAGAGAAGCAAAACTGATTCCGAATTTAATTCACGAATACATAAACCATGAGGCTGATCAGGTGGGGCAGATGGTGTCCAACACTTAGCTATAGGGCTCCATGGTCCGGCCCCAGCTGAATTTACAGCACAAAAGCGGAATGCAAACAAACTAGCTGGTTGCAAACCTGTCATTTCAAATGATAACTTTGAACCAGCATAAATCTATTTAAAGAAAAAAAGGTATGAAGAGATTATGAACATATCCCTGATGCTTGATAAGTAAGAACAGATAGTTTAATAATACCTAAATCCTTGAGAGTTTGAAGGATAAACAAAATATAGAAGATAAATCAGGTGATACATTTGAATTATTCATATAACCCTTATGATTTGAGCGGTTATATATGAAGTGGATTGCAAGGTTAGATAACTTCGATCTCGACTGAATAGGTGACAGTGTCGAACCACGACGCTTCATTGGCTTAGGCTTGAACAAATGGATGATTTTTAATCAACTCTTATGTCTATCTCAGAGACAACAGTATAAAGCCATATGATTGGTAAATAAACAGGTTACAATTTAGACAAAACAATGTCAAACCTCAGACATATATTGCATCTCTTCAAATTATCAAATTTTCTGAATCGTAAAAAAGGCTAAATTAACAATAGGATAGAAAATATTAGGATGAACAGGGAAAAAATACATGAATTAGTTGAAATCAAGCAGCAGCCAAACATTTAAATAAAAGTACAGTATAGGGGCGAGTTAATCATAATAGAGAATGAGGCTTATAGGCTTTTGTACGAAATTCAAATGTCATGTTTAAAGAGAAAGAGCAATATCTTTCTACATTATTCAAAACATTAAAAATGACTGCAAAAATTTATTTCTTCGAACCACAGAGCAAAAAAATGATGGTGTTAAACATATCAAGTGCTGAAGTCTTACCTTATAGACTACCCTTAAATGCTAACTAACAATTATGAAGTAAAACGTAACCTGGTGGGACTGTATACTATAGGCTCCTGTTGCGCTAAATTCATCTATCGATTTGGTTGCAGAGTATTTTTGCACAACACCCGGTGTCAGTTTGTGACGAAAGCCCTAACTATGTGCCCCCAGTCCATACTTTAAGTACCTGACGCAAACCCTGAAAGATTGTAGGGATCTTCAAAATCTTATTTGGATCATTTTACGAGATGGGGAAAACGGATAATCCGTATCATACCGTTTCTTAAGTTACAGACAGATCAATCCACATAAGAATTTAATAAGTATATCGCATATACAAAAATCTTCCTACACTTTACAATATTATTATTCTCTTATCCATAAACTATCTATTTGAAAAGGCTGTTTTCTGGTTGACGAAAAACTGCCTAAAAATTCATCGCTGCTGTTTTAAGTTCTTCTTTGTATTATATTCTCACAGGCATTTAAAACTATGAGTGAAAGGTGAATGAATATTTCTACACTATAGTTATATTGTATAATTGATATTCTGAACGATTACTCATTTAATTCGAAATGAACCTATTTCATAAGTTATTCATTTTGCTGGAGGATTGTGCAAAATTATGAACTGAATATTGAATTTGTTCTTTTAGAATTTTGATAATTTTACCCATATTGCTATTTTACTGTTCTTCCTAGTCTCCCACATTGTCCGAACATTCCATGCACCTACATCGATTGTTGCTCTGGTTGTCAGAAAAGTCTTAGGCCACGTGATTTTCGAAGAATCTTGGCTTTACTGATGAGGTGTCAAAATTGTTCTACATGAAGATCGTTCAACACGGAGGGCAGAGTTTTAATAGTTTATTCTAGTTAAAGTTTCGCCAGCAAAGTTGCTTTTTACGGGATGTGGTTGCCGACCCGACACCTAATCCCCTAGTTTATCCATGCTTTTGTCCGACAGTAACCTTAAAAGATCTACCGGGGGAGTTTCGTAAAGTGTGTTATCTTTAAACAACTATGTCAGGAGAAAAACATGTTCACATAATAGTACTAGATGATCGTAGTGCAATATGGTAAATAATTATAAATATTTTATAAACATTTAGATTTACATTACAGGCGGAAGTACGGTTTGTTAGTATGTATGCTAAATGTACGATTGATCTGTCAAGAGACTAAACTCTATTTAGTAGTTTAAACATTTAAGCAGTGTGATTATACAATGTGGGTCAGTTTGGAGGGACTCAAATATTCGCGAAGAATAAATTATGGGTAACTTCTGGAATCTATTTATAGACTGTCATTATACATATTCTTATTGTATAAACTACGTATATCTGAAGTATATTATTCATACAGTGGAGCCTGAGATTGTGTTCTCGACTCAACAGACAAGGCTAGGCGATAAAGACTAATAGGGATTCAGAGTTGACGCAAGGCTGCTAGTGCTGTTTTGATATGTTATTGGTTTATCACAAGGACAAGGTCATATAAGTCGATATTCGGCGATTTTGTCACGTTGTGGTGTGCTACTTATATTGACGTGATTCGTAAGTATATGATGTTAGTTGTGAACGGAAGGTCTGCCAGCAAAGAGACAAGAGGATCAAACAGTAAAGAATCGAAACAGAATGCAATTTGTATGAAAATGCAAGAACAATGAAGTACGAGTCATTTTGAGACAATCGATGGACATTTTGCAAATTAAGCATTGACTTTATGATTGTTAGATTTTATTAACAAGTCCTGTAATTTTGCGTTAAAAACATTTGATTGTCTTCACTGGTGTTCGTGTTCACTACAACGTGACAATAAAAAAGCAAAATTCATAGTAGCACGCACGTACATGCATTCTTGTTCGAAAGAGTAACAACATTTTTCGCAGTAATCAACGAAATTAAATTTATCTTACCAGTTGAAAAAATGAGTCATTTTCCATTTGCTCAAAAGAATCTAATCCTGATGAATTTTCCAAAGAATTTATTGTCGATTTCTTTTCAGATGGGATGTTTATTGTATATGATGAAATATCATAATAATCCATTGAATTCAATGATTGATACTGACGACATTCAAGTCGATATTCATATATTTTAGCTCCATTAATACAAGTTACTGGATCCCAAGCAATCTGTATTACATATGGGGATTTAGGTAATAATCTTGGTGAACTAGTCGGTACACCTGGTAGACTTGGTGGAGTTGATAAGGAAATCCATTCAGTCCATAGTCCTTCACCTGCACGATTACGTGCACGTACACGGAAAGCATAATTTTGTCCAGGTGTCAGACCAAATAATCGACATTCCGTTTCACGTACAGAGCATACAAATCGACCAAGTGTAATATTCGATGAATCATTAAATGAAGATTGTATTTTTACTGAATTATCATCATTATTATTAGTAGTATTATTATTCACTGAGTATGATTTCATATTTAGCGATGGATCTGTGTAAGATTTATGCAGAATAAATTGACGATGACGTGATTGACAACTATTCGGCATAAATCTATGGTTGAAATCACATTCTAAATTATGACATGATGAAGGTAGAACGGATAGTTCTAATGAAGATGTTGGTGTTGATGAGCATAGTCTATGCATTGATAAATCGATATCATCATTGTCTTCAGATACTTCATCAATCCAACATGTAGATTCCAAAGTCAACTGCCAAACCTGTACATACATATAGCAAGGAAGGTAAAATAATTGGTAAATATCAATAAAAATACATCAGTATTTCAATCAAAGGTATCAACCTTTACAAATCTTAATACAATCTATCCTCTTTCGTTAAATTTGAAACAAACCGAGAACAACACGATTTACAGAATAAACATGAATGTACTTTATTGCACAGCTTCTTATCAATTGGAAATGACCTCAAGTAATTATCAGTAATAGTCTTATAGACAAAGTTTAACATTAACTAAGTCTTTCATTGAAATCATGAATTTATCTAAGTCAAAGCACTATTGAAAACCTAGAAGCACTGGGGAGTTCTTGCTGTTGTTATTCTTGCTTTGTTTATATGAAAAAAGTGTAGACTTTCTGAAACGTAGAATATTCCGAAATTTGGATCCTAAATCTTGAGTGGCCGATTTAAAAAATGACTTTTTCTCTTTAAGCACTCCTTAAAATGATGTTTGTGCACAATATCCGACGGTCCTTCATTATAGCCTAAAAAATGTCTACAATGAATATCATTATAGAGTGAGAGAATAACAAAAAGTTACGAAACTGTTAAAAGTTAGTCTCCCGATTATGGTAACTCTGTCACTGATAAATGTTTAATGGAACTGAACCGAAGATATGCTCCTAACATTGTTTTAATGTCTTAAAATATGTTGAATTGAGATTCAAGACATCAATGAGAAAAATTTAAAAAAAGACATTCCCATCGTTATAGTTTACATGATGGACTGAATTTAGGTAGACAGCCAGGGGTGAACAGCATGTCCTCATTAGTGACTAATTTAGAGAGAGGATTCCTGAAGTCCTATTGAGAATGGGTGGTCATTGGAGTTTAACAATGTCTATTATGAGATAGTTAAATAACAGTGGCATTAGAAGTTGGTTACAGAATGTCACAAACTCATTCAAGTTAGGACTGTTAACCAATGAATGCCGTCTCAGTGATTTAGAGGTTAAGCGCTTGATGTGATATCCAAGATCCTTAGCTTAGTCTCTAATGGTGGAGTAGTTAATACATGTTGTTGAATAGTCCCATACTAGAACGAATCAGCTATCCAGTGCTTCGTTGTTCAGATAAAAACATTATGTAATCCTGATCATATAATTCAACAATTCAGGAAACTCCCTATATTACTATCTATTGCGCTTGGCTATTGTTATTGTTTACAATCCACTTAAAAAGTCCTTAAAAACATTGAGACCTTCTTACCAGGAGGAGATAAATTTAAAGATAGGTAGTTTTCTTTAAAAAACACAACTTTAGTTGTCAGTACTACCATATATATTTTGATAACAATAAGAAAAATCTTCTATAGAAAAGCCAAAAATCTGAACTGTTTTCTTTTTTGAGAAATATGGTTTAAACATCATTATTATTCATTGTCATTCATATTCATTAAACTAAAAGAATTTTGATTTCATTTGTGCATTGTGAACTCATGATTTCGTATTCAATGGTTTACTATTGAAACCGAAGTGAAATGGTGAATCTATTAGTTGATCATCTGGTGTCGATTTATGTTAAAAACTAATTTCATGCTTTAAAAAAAGGACTTCAATGAACAAACTAAGTCTAGTTCATAACAGGAGAATTCGTTTTATCATTCTTAACACACACACACACATACACACAAACAGAAAGACATGCATACCCATGAACAAGAGACAAAAACATATGCACCGAAACACTCGCATGAATATACATATAACATACAAATTTAAGTGGTATACATACATATAAGTATAGTTTTAGGACAACCTATTAAGTAATTCTCAGAGTATTAAAACAAATGTTTTTTATCAGGTAAAAACATTATAATGTCAATAAATACTACTCATATATGTATACATATGGGTTAAAGAATGGGTTTTATGTATAAATGGATTTAATTAATTTTTTTTATTGACAGTTTAGATTTTGACGACGGAAGGGGAAAAAAAGAGAGAAGATATGCTCATTTACAAGTATGGGATTATTTAATTATTTAGAAAAAGTAAACCATTAATAATACTCATAACAATTTTGAATTGTTTTTTGATTCTTTCTTCTTAAGTATTAGATTTATGTATATAATAATTAAGTGGCTTAAATATTTACATGCTAATGGATGAAGAACGACTTAAGTAGGATAGTTAAAGCAGTTGACTCTCATTCAATACGAGTTGCAAGTTTGGATGGATCTCGTTTAATTTATTTTGATTCAGGTAACTAGGGTTAGGTATTATCAATAACTTCGCATATACAAGTAGTGTAACAGTTCAAAGCTGGTTAGAGAAATAGGATACTGGGCAAATGAGTTGGATTAATCAAAGCACCGCAAAACCATATTGATGGTCCTAGGTTCAATCTCGTGCAAGGTCATTTGTGCACACTGTTAAGGAGTTGTAAACAAGGAGGAAACAACTGTCTAATGCACTTGTTGGTCGTTATTAATAGATGATTGTCAATGAGGAAAAATAAACATGTTTGTAAGTGGTATTCGTCCCAGATTGACCTCAGTTGGAGTACTCTAGAATATCCATGAGACATTGGTTAGTTATTTCATGCTAGCATAGAACTACCCAGTAGCGCACATCCATGGTACAATAAAAGGGATCGAACCATGGACCTTTAGGTTTGGAAGTGAGCGCTTAATCACTAGATAATTGGATTAGTACTTTACGGCACTATGCTTAACTTGAATTAATTTTTGATGTGGCATGAAAATCATCGAATGACGGTTATTTTACTCCCAAGCAGGCTGAATTATATCAGTCACAATTTCCCACCTGTAACTTCAGGGATCCATCCCGAAGCCAATCGTTAGTGTACATACAGTTTATCAACAACTTATCGAAGTTGCCATAAAAATAAGTGAAAATTGTCCTTTAGTGTTTTTTAAGGCGATCATATAACATATCACTTCTAATAATCGTTTCTTGTTTATGTACACAGTAGGTGTTATTAGAGCTTAATAATAGAAATCGATTTTTCGACATATTAAATACATATATCTTACTCATTAAATTTGCAGTGTATCTTTCTGATTACAAATAAATGATGATAGAGATACCGAAAAACTAAATTATGGTAAATAATCTATAACTCTGGCAACTCTACTTTGATTTGTATTCGGATCAAAGGACTTTTCATAATGAATAACTGAATTGTAACTGTACGACTGTTTTCCAATATTTTTCTCCTTTGCACCATTATTAAAATTTACCTAGACGATAACTAAAAATAAAGTTGAAGTTAGACATTAACACCATTGGATGCCGGCCGACTCAGTGGTCTAGAAGATAAGCTCTCACACACGAGACTGATAGATCTTCCGTTCGAAACTCCCGAGGCGGGATCGTGGATGAACACCGCTGAGGAGTCCCACAATAGGATGAAATGGCCTTCCAGTGCTTCCAGGTTTTCCATAGTTGTCTAGCTTCAATTGACTCATGATCTCAACTACTAAAATTACTATAATATCCACAAAACCCCTTCTGATATTGAAAATAAAGGGTTGTAAAATAGGTCTCACAATCGGTCGGTTTATCCATGTGAAATAACTATGGATAATCTTTGTCATCACTAAAAATATTAGACATAACGAGGCCAAAAGTTACCATTCAAATTACGGAATTCATGAATCCTTTTTGTTTATTTTCAAGTTTCTTTATCTTACATAATTTACAATTGAATATAAAGAGAACGTAATATGCAGGAAACAAGTTAACAAGGGTGGTGGTAGAAATAGCAGTAGTAGTAGTGAACGCTACTATTATTGTATATGATTATTATTTCAGTATGAGAGAAAACTATTAGTTTTGCTTATATATTTATATATATATATGTATAAACATATGGGTAATATTGTAAGCTTCACCCACATTTTTGTCTACTTGCCAAATGGAAATTCACTGTTATGCTGCCTGCTTCGTCTCAATAACGAAAATTATTGAAGAGAATAAAAAATTCACATTATCGTCGTCGTTTAATCCACCCACGCATGGGAGAATAAACCCAATAAACTAATAGACGTACAAACCTACATACGTGATATATAATGAATGGACTGATAGATAGACATACAGTTCACTGAAATGTTTAAACACACAACAAACTGAGCATTTAATTTGTAGCATTGCACAATTAACTAAATGTGATCTCAAAATAGCTTCTAAAAAAGTTTACTATAAATAAATAATGAAGGAAGCCTTTTTTCCCCTAATTTTCGTCCCTATCACGCCTACATAAATTTTTATTTTTATGTATTCTTTTTTTCTTTCAATTTGTAATCACGATTACATAATAAAAATAGAACTTAAAAACGAAGAAAAAAAACAAGTAACCGTTGAAATAATAATAGAAATACGTTATTCAATTGATCATTCGATTATCGAGAATATTCATGGTGGGTTAAAAACAAGTTTTGAAGTCTTTTTAGGTTTAGTTACTAGAACAATGGTTATTATGTACATAACTGAAAAATTAGGTAGCTCACAGTCAGCTTAATGACTACAACAATTGACAGGATTCACTATGTAAACTATAAAAATAAGCAGAGTAGGTAACATTAAGAAATCCAGTATATGACGTAGATATTTTCGGGTCGATTTAAAATGTACTGAAGTAGCTATGAATATATGAGGGCGCTTGAAGACAAGAGAATACAGTGAACGCACATAAAGGTAGTGTATCGTAATTAGGAATAAACCGGGCAATAATGTACACAACAATTATCGTTCCATATAAATTGTACGTAAACCTTAAGCGATGATGAATCAGTTAGAGCCCAGCTAATGTAAATATTAAAATGTGTTCACGGTGAAAATTTTAAGTTTAAAGTTTCGCAGAAATAATTCAATTATCAATTGTAAGTTATGAATAGTTCAAAACTGACTGTTCTATCTACTGAGTTGTGAAAACAAAATACTCTATCTTGATGCGTATACACACCGGAAGTCTAACAATCATTTTATCGTATTACAAGCTGATACTGATCGTAGAATAAAAAAAAACTAACAAACTGGATAACTGTTCCACCCTGCAGTGTGATTCATCGGAAAAACACACCTAAGAATATACTAATGACGCAACTGGACAGTTCAGGTTTCAAGGGAAACACACTATTGAGTTGGAATGTAATAATTCAACTTGTAGAAATAGATCAAAATCAATTCGTAATAAGGTGCAGACTAACTAAGTCGAAAGGAAAACTCTATGATTCACTCATGATATTAATGAGAATCTCCAGGCGTTGCGACAGCAGCCGGAACTGTAGTTTTTAGGCTTGATATACTGTGAGGTTAAGAATGGAGTGTACAACTGTCCGGTACTTCTTGAATTTTTTCACTGCTCATCAGCAGTCACTTCGTGATAAAAATAAAACGTTCAGAATAATAATTAAGTACATAAATGAATGAAAGAACGTATCTAATCCCTTTAATACAAATCTTACTTCGTAGGCCAATATTGGCGCACCACCAGTTTGCTTTGGTGGAGACCAACATAAATGCAATGAAGTTGGCTTCGGTTTACCGACAACACGTGGACCAGAACATGGTGCGGAAGGTGGAATTGGTGGCATACGAATTTTTAATGGTGGATAATTTGCTAAACCCCATAATTCATTATTACTATTAGTAATAACGGTATTAGTAGTATTTACATTAGTGACATTAGTTCCAACATTTATAGAGGTAATCATTTCATCCGCTGAACATTGATTTAAATTCAGTGTAGATATTATTCCAGATAACATTGAAGATGATGATGACGATGAAGATGACGAGGATGATGAGAAAGATGAACATGATGGATTCATATTATGATTATTTGCTAATGAACAACATGCACGTACACGTAATTGTAAATACAGTCCTGGTAGTAAATTGTCAATAAGTAATTCTTTTTCAGCACCTTCATAAATAATAAACCATGCAGTTTGTGGATAAATTAATTCAACATCATAATCAGTAGACTGACTGACAATTGAATTATTGTTCAATGTTATTGAGTTCGGCATTTGATTATGATCTATGTCTGTGTTTTCATTACTATTATTCATATCTACAGTTGTTCTGCTAGAAATCTTTTGATTAAATGAATTCAATGGAGGATGATAGGTAATATCTGAACTGTTTATTACGTAATTATCATTTGTAGAAGTAGTCGTAGAAGCAGGATTAGTGGTAGTAGTAATAACTGTTGTAGAACTAGGAGTAGCAGTACTAACTGATGTCGATTTTATTGCTGATAATGATGAATTAATTGATGATAATATAGACGAACCAGATTTTAACGCTGAAACAATATATGAAATTTAAAATTTTTTATATATATATATATATATATATATCAACAAAATAAGGCCTGGCACACAGATGAACTGTCTAAAAATACTACACTCTAGATCACTACAATGATAGATAAAATTAATAAGATGTATTGTAACGTTAGTAAAAAAATGTGAGAAACACTAAACAAAGAGAATACAGTTTGGTTGAAGGAACTTTGTGGAGATTAGTTAAACTTGTAGGTTATATTCGCTAAAGAATGCGGGGGTAACTGTTTCATCATTGTACGAAACTCTAGTAACGCTCAGCCATGACCCAACCAGAGATAGAACCAAAGACCATTAGGTTCCGCAGCAAACGCTTAACCAATAGAATGATTAAGTTGGTGTCAACTAGCACCCATCAAACTTCAATCAATTTGTGATATAATGTGATGATTATCTAATTTCATTAATAACATTTTTATTCACAACGTGTCTTAATGTGCTTTGATAAGAAAGAATGAGACTGAGAAGTGAGAATTATAAAGCTTTGCATAGTTATTCATAATAAGAAGAAACGCAAACCACTAGATGTTAAATAACTTTTGAATTAATTAATGTTTGAACGCAATAAACTGGTAAACTACTCGGTTCTTAGCAAGCTCTCCATACGGACACATATGCTTAACCGTTAGTAGAATTATTTTCGTCTAACTTATGATTAATTAGTTAATAAAACTGACATAACCGCTGAGAATCAAACTCTACATATAAATCTCAAAATCCCTGACTGATGACTGATCTGGAAATAAATTCTGTATACTAAAACGGTTTATGTTTGAAAAACCACTTTCAAAAATGTTTTTATATTAATGAAGAAGTGAAATTTTGAAAGTACGTTAATGTATTTCCTAAATATTTATTATGATATTTGGAATGTGTATTTAACGATTGATTTTATACCTTTATTTGGCTCATTAACTGTTGATATCTTGTTTACCGTAAGTGAATTCCAGGAAATTAACCATAAATAAAAATAAAGATACTTTAGCAAGGAAACCTTACTTTTTGGATGCTTCTTTGAATACAACTGTATACTCGAGTGTATAGTTTATTTTATACATCACAGTCTATAATAAAATAGAAAATTATTGTTTCCCTAGTATCTTTATTATTGATGTAACGATTTTCCATCTAAGTGTAGACTATAATATATAAAATAACCATCAATGAGATTGTACAGTTTAGTAAGTTAAATCGTCAGGAAGAAACGTTTTTCTTGCTATATTGTACTGATATTTGCCATACCTTTTTAACTTCATTTAACTTCATATATTATCTTATGTTAATACAGTTTGACAAGTTTTGAAGATTGAATAACATAAGTGATATGACTTTTATCCTTGTCAATTATCACGTGACAAAATCGCCAATCCGAATATCGGCTTATATGATCTTGTCCTTGTGATAAACTAATAACATATTAAAACAGCACTAGCAGCCTTGCATCAACTCTGAATCCCCATTAGTCTTTATCGCCTAGCCTTGTCTGTTGAGTCGAGAACACAATCTCAGGCTCCACTGTATGAATAATATACTTCAGATATACGTAGTTTATATAGAGACGGACCAGACCGCATCACACCATGAAATAAGAAATGACAATTATACAAGATCAAGGAAAAAGTGGCCGTGAGTGTGAAAGACTGTAACTAACAGATTAAGAATAACTTAAGAATAATAAATCGAATAACAGTAGCCAATAGGCCAGGTGAAAGCTAATCATAAAAGAAATATAAATATATATAATCCATTTAGTGAAAAGTTATACAATAAGAATATGTATAATGACAGTCTATAAATAGATTCCAGAAGATAAACATAGCTTAATCTTTGTATACAACAATCAAAATAATTCAAGGTACTTGTCTAGCTTTCTTAGTGTTCCGGGTAATATTTAAGAGGAATTATTTTCAACTCATTGGTCTAAATGTCGATTATTTGCCACGAGACCTGACGGTCCTGGGTTCCATTCCCGGTAGTTTAATGGAAGCTCACTGTTTAGGAGTCCTATATTATAACTAAATAGCCGTGTAGTGTTTCCTAGTATTCAGTGTTTATAAAGCTACAGTCAAACCTCAATGTTTACCATAAAATTAGTTCATTCGTCACATTACATAGCACGTTTCCCTCCTCTCAATATTCATGCTAACCTATCGCTTAAACTATGTAAACATGATGGTTTATTTCACATTCAGTTTTCAGTACATAATCACATAGTTTTTCTCTCTATAAATTATCATTATTGATCAATTCGTCAGTAATTAAAGCAAGAATGATGAAAATTCAGAATGTATGGCATGTATCATAATTTATTTGACTAGTCATTTAGACACATCTGAATGTGAATTAATCCTATTGATAATAAAACTTTATAATGGTGTAAAACCATCACTTTTGGACCTGATAATTATTATTCATACATATGGATTTATTTATTTACTAATTCATGTCTGTTTCATTGGTTGACCAATAGTCGTTCCATTCTTTTCAAGACATACGCGTTACTACATCATGTTTCATATTGATGAAGATGATGATTCAAGGCAATTTTCGACCAATATTATTTACATCAAATAGACAATATTAAATTTAAGAATATTTATGAATAATTTATAATTTCATAGACAATTTCATTATTAATCTGATTAGGTTTCTAAAAACAAAACAAGGTAAAACAGGAGTGTATACACACAACATACATGTACACTTATTCAGTCAACAAATTTTAGAAAACAATTACAGTTAATCAACAACAAAAAAAGAACAGATACTACCGAACAATTGCGAGGGCAGAAAGCACAGATAAACAGAAGTACAATAAAAATAGATTAAATAATGTTACAATAATCAACAAACATACAATGATTCAAATGTCGAAAAATAAACTAAAAATAGAGAGCGATGTATAGCGATATAGAGAACTTTGTACGAAATTCAAGTGGCCGCCTAGACTACTCAGCACATAAAAAATCTAAATCAACCTGTACCAGAAAGAAAACATGATTATTACAAGTAATAGTGAACATTGTGTTTTAATTTATAAGGTGTGTCGACTAGGTTGTTTTTATTTTGCAATTATTGATCATTAGAGGAAACTGGCATACTTCAAATTCGAAAAGATAAACAATTTGCTACATAGTTCACATTTATTGACAATAATTTTAAAACACTGTGGGTGTATCTTCCTTGTCTAGGACTAAAAGAAGGAAAGACAAGAGAGAAACACGAAAAAGTGAAGACAACACAATTTCAAAGATTAGGAAATGTAGTGAACATCATCATAATCGTGGTCAGCCAATACATAACTCGTTAGGTAGAAAACTGTAGGGCACATATTGACAATAATACAAAATTTTCGACAGATATGAACAAAGAAGGAAAGCGTCGGTCTTGTCAAATAATGCTTTGGAAATTTTTAAGGGGATTTAATGTATATGTTGGCGAAATTCAGTGTTTTGGGATTGTTAATCCTAGTAAGTGTTGATGTCGAAGCGAGAACTTGAAACAAGAACTTATCATTTTTGTAACGATACCGTTGCAGTTAACTTGATCAAAAAAACTATTCAGCATCAATCACATCGTGTGTGAAGGATAGATCAAATACATATATTTACATGTACATATACCTTGTTTATCAAGTGAATGTTTCTTGTAATTGTTTCTGAGTCAGATCACTTAAGAGCCAGTGTTACGAATAACGACGTCCAATATAGGTACAAATGCTTTCAATAAGTTTTTTTATCTACGTACATTGGTGAGAAAATTGAGGACGTATTCGGAAGCAGTGATCGGGAAAGCTAAACAATTGGTATCTCTACATTTGTCATTCTGATCCGGACAAAGACGTGCAGGCTTAGGGCCTTGATTAGATGCAGAATCAATTCACACCAGTACCGGTCAGTTGTTTATAAATTCTCATCTACCGTTTGACTACAAGATGGTACATGAGCACAGTCGTGTGATGTGTCTATACTGACACAGTCAATCAGCTAGTGTACTGACCGGTTGCATGAACTGAGTTAGGCGAAGTGAGGTTTGAAATGACTATACAGTGGATGAATGTTGCATGTGTTCACTGCTAACTGGTTGTGTGGGTATGTGTAAAGACAATCCGCATAGTTTGCCACGAAGTTACAATAAAAAACAAAGATTTTTATTAAGAAAGACAATTATTTTATTCCTTATATTTTGATGCACAGGATGAGTTAAAATCGGAGGTTGAGGGTAAGGCGAAGATCAGATAGAAGATTGGTAAAAATGCGCAACAAGTGTAAAAAAAATATGAGCGTAAAACCAAAGGAGAATCATGAAAATCTCATAGAAAAACTCTGCACCGAGAATTGCTTTTCAATGTCCAGTTGTATACAAAAAGATTGTTCTATTCTCAAATAAAAGAATATGTGTAGTAGGTATCTTCATTAGTGTTACAACACTTTCTGCAGATTCAACGGTAATAAATATATTGAATTCCGAACGGTCAAGAATTACGTGTGATTTCCAAAAAATATCATGAAAACTGTTGGCGATTAATAGATTGGATTTATTTGTTTTTCTTAACATTGAATATTTCATTACACTGGGAGTGTAATTATGCCAAGTTTTCCATGATTACGGTTATTTTCGAAAAACAAATTTACAATATTGGCATGACATTTAAAGCAGCATTGACGACTGTATTAATACGAAAAAAAAACACAACTTAATTTAAAAGTTATAAACGTAACGAAGGAAGTATTGACATTTTCCAGCCCATTTTGTACATTTAAACTTTCAGTTTACATGAAGAAAAAAAGAGGAAACTGTAATTATGCCCAAAAGAGAAAAAGCATTATGTGGAAAAAAGAAGTATGATTGCAATATCTGTTTGTTTGTCAAAGAGTGAAATACACGGTTTTTCTATATGAACAAAAAGGTTTCTTTTTTTTTGTAATACTTCTGAAATAAGGTAATCTTTACAAAAAAAAATAGATTTTTGCCGGTAGGTTGACGACAGTCTGCTTCGTTTGATTAGTTGTTGGAATCTGTATTGTGATTAGCTTAATCTGACTTATATTTGGATTACTACAATGAGAAGCTAAGCTTATAATTAGTCTATTGGGTTAATTGACAAAAGAATTTGACCTTAGACTAATAGTAGAAAAAAAACACATAACTAATTGTTCCTGTTTTAATAATGAATAAATATCAATTTGAGAAGAGTTGATTTTATACGAAGAAAAAAAATTGTCATTATTATTAATAACATGTACTTACGTGTAACATGAGGCCAACATATTAATTTTTGAATAACATCAATTTGATCATCGATTTTCTCTAGAGAACAATTGACTACTGAATTATTGATATCATTTAATTTTGTATTGGAACCATTGGTTAGTGTTCCATTTGGTAGGGTAGAATTACCACTATTACTATAAGGTAAGAGAGCTTCTAATCGATAAGCTTGAATGGGAATTCCACCATCATCTTCTGGTGAATCCCATGTTAAAGCTAATCGAGTTGGTTGTATAAATGAACCGTAAATCTGTAATAAATAAATAGAATTATAGTAATAGAAATGATCATCTAAGTATACGAGATATATGTATGTATTCAGTTAATGTAAATTAGAAAAATGAAAATTTGCCATGATATTTGCACAATTCTCAAATAGATTATTCAGATAATTTTTTCCATTATACAACTTATGTGATATGATCTTGAATGTGAGATTTGGACCCAGTTTCACAATCTGAGACGTTATCACTGAGATATTTGTGATGGAAATGATCTCTTGTAGGACCAGTACGAAAAGTATGCTCAGTGTTTCCTGACGACTAACAACCCATGGATTGAAGGTGGACTTTGTGACCTAAGAGCGTGGCCGCAATGCCCAAGGGACAACTATCTAAGGTCGGTCACACACGACCTTTTTATGAGTAATTTTTGTGTTAGCTCCGTACTTGTTGAGACCTTACCGCCGGAGACGGATATCCATGGGATAAGGCGAGGTGTGCATTTTTAGGGTCAACCTTTTCTAACCTCACCCCTCCTTGTGGGAAGGCAGCATCGCTGTCACGCTGGTTGTCTGAAGGAAACACCTTACTGCTGTCACACTTCTGTACAGCCAGCAGTACGACTTCGCCTTCGGACTTTGGGTTTGTTGCTTTTAGTCTTGCCGTTCTTAACCGACCTGTCTGACATGGTAGAACCTTGAGGAACAATTTTTCCAGCCATTATAGCTTGCTTGGTTCATCACGATAGGCAAGCCAGACCACTAAGTTCAGGTAGCAACAACGGTCAGGCCTGCGTCAACACCTGAACTGATTATAGGGAGTGAAGTAGTCGAACGCGTTGACAACTGCACTTATCTTGGAAGTCTGATCAGCCCTGATGGGTTGGTGTCTAACGAAATCTCAGCACGTATTCGAAAAGCTCGTTTGGCTTTTGCCACCTTACGTCACCTATGGCGAAGGCGAGATATTCGTCTATCAATAAAAAGAAGGGGTATACTGTGCAACAGTTCGTTCTGGTTTACTTTACGGATGCAAAACGTGGCCAATAAGAGTAGGAGATACTCGTAAACCATTAGTATTTGATCACAAATGTCTTAGGAATATTGTTCGCATCTTCTGGGATCACCGGTTAAGTAACAGTGAGGTTAGACATAGGGCATTAAGAAATGATGGTAAATCAGTTGATGAGGTTGTAAATCTTCATTGATTGAGATGGTTGGGCCACGTGTTACGTATGCCTGAACTCCGATTATCACGACGCGCAATATTGACAACAAATTGGTTGTAGGCGGCATAATATTTCAACACAAACCTATGCACAAAGCTACATGGGTCTCACCGGACCACACTACAGAAAACCAAATAGATCATATTTGTATCAATAAAACGTTTCGAAGGACAATGGAAGATGTGAGAACCAAGAGAGGTACTGACGTAGCTTCAGACCACCACCTAGTTGTGTCAAATTCAAAACTGAAGCTAAAGAAGAACTGGACAACTGGACAAACAGCATTACAAAGGTTCAGTACAGCCTTCCTTCGAGATACTGACAGACTCGATGAATTCAAGATAGCTCTCAACAACAGGTTCCAAGCCTTACACAATCTACTGAAGGAGGAAGAAACTACTATGGAGGACAACTGGAAAAGTATCAAAGAAGCACTAACTTCAATGTGTCAAGAGGTTCAGTTCTGGGCCTCAACGAGAATTATCATAAGGAATGGATCTCTATAGAGACACTGGACAAGATCAAAGAAAGGAAGAACAAGAAGACAGCAATTAAGAACAGCCGAACACGAGCAGGGAAAGTCCAAGCACAAGCTGAGTACACAGAAGCAGACAAGCAAGTGAAGAAGAGCATTAGAGCTGACAAGAAGAAATATGTGGAAGAACTAGCAACGACGGCGGAAAACGCTGCAAGAGAAGGAAATATGAAACAACTTTACGATACAACGAAGAAACTAGTAGTGAAATATAGTAAACCAGAGAGACCGGTCAAACACAAAGAAGGCGGACCAATCACTGAAACTCAACAACAGCAGAACAGATGGGTAGAGTACTTCGAGGAACTCCCAAATAGGCCAACTCCAATGAATCCACCGGACATCGAAGCAACACACACAGACACACCTATAGATGTCAATCCACCAACGACGGAAGAAATCAGAATGGCCATCAGACAAATCAAGAACGGGAAAGCAACAGGACCCGACAACATACCAGCTAAAGCACTGAAGTCAGACATCGAAGTAACTACAAGCATGTTTCACCTTCTGTTCAAAAAGATATGGGAGGAGGAACAAGTGCCGATGAACTGGAAAGAAGGACACCTCATCCAGATTCCAAAGAAAGGAGACCTGAGCAAATGTGAAAACTACAGAGGCATCACACTACTGTCAATACCAGGGAAAGTCTTTAACAGAGTGTTGCTGAACCGGATGAAAGACGCAGTAGACGCCCAACTTCGAGATCAACAGGCTGAATTCTGTAGGAATCGGTCGTGCACAAACTAAAATGCAACACTACGGATCATCGTCGAACAATCAGTTAAGTGGAACTCGTCACTATACATCAACTTCACTGACTATGAAAAGGCGATGGCATTGTAAACAGGAAAACATTTTGGAAACTTTTTCGACACTACGGAGTTCCTGAGAAGATTGTTAACATCGTTCAGAATTCATGCGACGGACTACAGTGCAAAGTAGTGCATGGAGGATAGCTGACAGATGCATTCTAAGTAAGAACCGGAGTCAGAAAGCGCTGCTTACTCTCTCTTTCTTCTAATGGTCGACTGGATTATGAAGACCTCGACATCTGAGGGAAAACCCAGCATACAATGGACAGCTCAGAACTAATTAGACGATTTGGACTTTGCAGATGCCCTAGCCCTTCTATCGCATACACACGGACAAATGCATATAAAGATAGCCAGTGTAGCAGAGATGAAAATAACAAGGTGAGAAGCAAAACAGAAATATAGTTGGAAACGACAGAGAGTAGTGAATGTATCCACGCTGTTATGAATGATTCTGATACATATCACTCAAAGTTCACAATTACCCAGACTTCAACTAAGTAGTATCTATCTACCAAGATAACAACAGGTAATGACTTAATGGACTGATAACATGTTCTGGTTCGGCTGTTCATATGATTCCTTCAACCTAAACAATAGTTGAAAGATACACGTATATGTGAATGAAGATATCTCAGCAGTGAGAATAGACAAATATAATACGATCACAAAGCAATGAGACAGCTATCACTGACAGAACAGAGTAATGGTCATGCTATGTTGCCATAGAGAGACAAACAGTAAAAATCTAAAACGCTTAATTCCGACTTCACTGTCTAAACGCATTGAAATTAGTCGTTCAGTTAGTCTAACATCTAAGTAATACATATCTTAATCATCTAGGTCGATAAAGATTCACTACTTCGTCAACTGATTACTTATACCTACCTAGCACTCTGTATATAGTCCCAGAACTGCCAATTCGACAGTCTTGAAATACAAAAGCAGTGCCTCAGAGTTTGCAGTGGTTGCAAAATTTTGAGTTTCTGGATTCAGCCATGTGTGCGTGAAGTCATAGTGCAATGAACGAAAACTCAGGTGCTCTATGCAAAATCAAACAGTGCCTCTGTAAAATATGGAAATCATCCATTAAATACATTGTTTGCATATCTTCCTTCAGTTGTTCTATACACACTTCATCATTTCTCTGATCCTGTTGTTCATCCGATTGTTCCTCATTTTCCTTCCTCTTTCCATTATTTCACTGTTCTGTTGGTAAGCACACTACTTCGAGTTCTTGCTACATACTACGTATACCTGTCCGCTTAAGTAGCGCATGCTACAGTAAGTGGATGTTACTAAGCAATCCCAAAGTAGAACGAAATAGATGCTCAATTTTTCTTGGTTTTACTTTGCAATAGTTCTCCAGCCAATATGTGATAAATGACTTGTATGAGTATATATATATATATATATATACTCATACAAGTCTTGTATGTTAAAGTAGTTTTTTTCTTTAAAAAAAGAATACTCACCCGTAAGTTTCTTGGTGGAGATGGATGATCAGGTAAAGTGGCCAGTGTTATTGTTTCACTCCAACGACTTCGGCCATCAATATTTGATGCAGCTAAACGAAATCGATAACGTGTATTACGACGTAAATTATCAACACAATGTTCTGTACCAGAACCGTCAAAAACAGTGATAAATCCATGTCCCATAGTTTGATCATCCATTTCTAATGTATATGTAATTGGACTTAAGTGATTGCCATAATTTGATGAATTCATGTGATCACAAATGTTACTTTGATTGTGATGGTGATGGTGATGAAGATGATACTGATATTGATCGGGATTGGTTGGTGGACGCCAACCTAATGTTAAGGAATGAACATCAGCTTGAATTAGGAATGGTGGTAAAGGCATCTCTGGAGGACTACCAGATGTAGAGGCGGAGAGTATTGGACTCCAGGAGCTTTTCAAGAGAACATGGAAATGAAAAATACAGATATATGAGAAATATGTATATTAAAATACTAACTACCGATTATGATGAAATGATCTCTGCTACTTTTTAAACTTTTAACAATAAGTCATTTGATATGTACAGGTTTATTTTAGATGATTGTAAGTAGATGACAGATAACCATATTTAACATAGATTTCGTGCTAGTTGGCACTCATCAACAGGGTGTAATTGTAACATTGAGGAGACTGATTATCACTGAGTGATTTAAACAAATGTAAGTCAGTTTTATGGTTTGGATCATTATCAAGAAGGTATCTAGATTACGACTCAGTTCGGATATATTTACAGTGACTGATCACTGAGTCAGTTGGTATTTAATAATCAATTAATGTACAGGATTATGTACTTGACTCTGAACGACACTCATCGTACAAAGGTTAATGCTACTACCTAGGTACTCAAACGGAAGAAGTGAGAGTGGACTTCACAGTAGTAACTTATAGGTTGAAAACAGACGGCCCTAACAAGTGAAAATTGAAAATATGGGAGTCAACCGATTCCTCAAAAGTAATTATTGTGTAAATTGGTACTACAAACAAGAATGTAAGAGTTCTTGAACCCGTGCGACGCCCCAAGACAAGAGAACAACAAGAACTGGGACCAAGAAAATTTAGCTATTCACATAAAAACTGTCCTACAAATCTGATGGAATAAAATTGTTTACAAGGCACATAGAATAAAACACAAATATCGAAAACTAATTCATTAGGCAAACTGAAAAACTGACGAAAGTGAGAGTACTTTATGAATAGAGAAAGAACAAACATGGATGCAGAATAGTATGAATTCATATTATTTCGAGGTTTCTCGTCAGCTGCTTACAAACCTCGAAATAATATGAATTCATACTATTCTGCATCCATGTTTGTTCTTGCTCTATTTAAATTCATAAAGGGAACCAATTGCATGGAATAGAGAAAGACTAAAACTACATCTGAACGCCATAGTATTAATAATTATCGTGATAAAAATGACTAAATATCAGAAATACGACGCCAAGAAAATGAAATATTTCGAGGGAGGCATCATTTCTTTCTCTCATTCACACACCCACAGACACATATCCAAGAAAAAATCAATGAAAACCCCCCAGCCAGACTTGTCCAAAAAGAGGTTACAAACAATAAGCTGATACACCATACTATACCTTTGTCCATATTGATTTATTGCTGCAACACGAATTAAATATTCCGTAGATGGAGACAGTTGATTTATTTTATACGATCTACCGAACACTTGAATTGGTTCGAAAAATTCTGGATCCGGCTGTGTAAAAAAAAGTTTAGGGAAATGACGCAAGAGTAACAATAATAATTTTTTATAACATCGTTAAGGCATAAAATTTTTAAGTAACGTAACAATTATTCTAATAAGAAATTACCATAAACGTAAGTTTATTTTTTTCTTAAAAAAAATCATCAAGTAACATAAACATGATCTATTTATCTAAATAAATTGAATATATTATTATTATTTTGTATTTATGAGAACTGAATGTCTATATTGTGTAGATAATGTAACTATTATTCAACTCTTTCTTCATGATTAAATACGAGAGAAGAGTGGAAAAGATTTGTAGCTCAGGTGGATTATTTTGATGGAGTTTTGTTCTCTGAAGTGGATGGTTTGGTCGTGGAGCTTTCATCGTTCTTCTGAACAATATCATGATGTCAGAGAACAAAACTCCATCAAAACTAGAGGATAGTTTCTATAAACATAAAACAAAAGACTTAAATATTTCTGAAATAAAAAAGTTTCTTGATAGTAAGTGAAAGAACTAATAAAATAAAACAATGATCTACCACAACACAATGCTCAAACCCAATGTAATGGACGCTACTCACAAGATTGTTTGTAAGTAGTACGTAGCAGAAAATAGAATTGAAATTGCAACAATGGACAGACTGAGTGAAGAGTTTCAGTACGTCGAAAGCAGAGCATTGGTATAAAACGTGGATGAAAATGTAATATTGAAGGTTATATATATGCATTAAGTAAATACTTTGTAACTTCTCACAATAAATATGCATTACTTCTGTCTACTGTCGTACTTTGTATATGAAGTTCAGTGTAAGTGTCTTTCTTTTTGCCTTGATACTCAAACTTAAGACTTATCAATTCAAATAGTATCATATGACCGATTAAATTCTCTTTCCTCGTTTGAAGCGTAATAGTTATTATTGATGGTGTAGTTGATTCCTCTGAAGTAGATAGCCAGATAATGAAGATTTCATCATTGTTTTTAGATAACATCATCGGTGACTATTTTGCACAGAAATGAGTTACTTAGTAGTTCCACAGGCCTTAAATCTGTTTATTTTGGTGAGCTTGTTTGAGAAAGAGTGGAATGAAAACCTAAAGAATAACTGAGAAACTTACTACTATATGAAATGGACACCGATATCATCTCAAGAATGACAATGAAATTTCTACATACAAACCATTTAGCTCAGAGAATTCAACAGCACCGAAAAAAATTCATTTTCAGCTGAATATCTTCTGCACTACTTCATTTATTGTTATTACTTAAAACTTTCCGTTGTTATGTTAGCTGACGAGAACCAAACAAACTAAACTGAATTCATGCTATTCTGCTAGAATCTTTGTTCTTGCTCTTTTCAAAATGATAAAAGGAACTATGTGTATGACAATACTTGATCGTTGGACATTATATTTAAATAACGGTGCCCTGCTCAAACCCCTGACTCACTATTTCACTGAACACGCATTTTACATCCCAAATTTTTCTGTTTGAGGCTTATTTTAATGACGTAATGATGTCTATCAACTGCGTCTACTTACAGTCGTATAGAATGTTAACAACATTGTTGAGATATTCAGGAAAATATCCCAAAAATTATCCTGTTAAGCCTAATGCTATCCTTGGACATGAAATGGTATCATCTTATTGGTCAATATTTATTTGACGTGTTATTTTCCTGTTGGCCATTATTGTACAATGTTATCTTCTATTTTATGGTACGTTGTGGACTGATTGACTGGTATATAAACAAAGTATGTTTGAAATATAATGATTTATAAATCCGAGGCTGAGACTTGTGTTCTGGACTCAATTGACTGGGCTAGACAGGGAAGCGAGACCAATCAGAACCCCTGACTCACTATTTCACTGAACACGCATTTTACATCCCAAATTTTTCTGTTTGAGGCTTATTTTAATGACGTAATGATGTCTATCAACTGCGTCTACTTACAGTCGTATAGAATGTTAACAACATATCTCAAACTCAATTACACGGAAATTCAAGAAATAATACCACAATGGTTAGTGTACTTTGTTCTTCTTTTGACTTTTAAAGAAACAACAAAGTCAATACTACACAGAATTCATACTTACAAATAACTAATCTTTATAATTTTACAATTCATAAACTAATAGTAGGATTATTAGCTTATTTCGATGATAGAGTCAATATTAAACAGATCCATTGGTAAGGTATGTGCTTCGCACCTTCTAAATGCAAATAATTTTTTGCAAAGCTGGCAGGATCCTGATCCTGTACTCACCCTGGGTAGTGAGTAGATAGAAGTAGTCGAGAAGTTTGTGTATCTAAGTAACTGCATAATTGCTGGTGGAGGCGTGAGTGATGAGATCAACTCACGTATAGAGAAAGCCAGAGCCGCCATCTTTGGAGACTTCGTGATGTTGGTCTGGCTGTAATAGGTCAGATCTACAACACGTCAGTGAGGGCAGTTTTGCGCTATGCTTGTGAAACCTGAACGCTCAGAGTTGAGGATGTTAGACAACTCTCTGCGTTTGATTACCGTCGTCTCATAAAGATTGCTGATATCCAGTAGTAACACCATGTTAGTAATGCAGAGGATCGGGCTCAGTGATGATAATCCAATTGGTGTCACCATCATGAAACATCGACTTCGGTGGCTTGGACATGTTCTACGAATGTCGTCCCAGAGAACTTCACTTCGTGCATTATTTGCCGACTCTGGGACTGGTTGGGAAAAGCGGAGAGGTGGTGAATGTATGACATTGTGTCGTGGTATGAAAAAAAGCTGCAAAGGGCTGGCTTGTGTTGGTCATTCACGACTCCCTGGCTGGGGTCCGAGAGATGGTGTAAAACAGTGGCTAGAGACGTTATCAGATATGGTTCAGAATAGAAGCCAGTGGCGATCGTTCTGCAACCTTCTTTTACTTTCTTCATAAAAAGTAGCCGTAACTTTTCATACGCACTTTGCATTCTTTATCTCTTCCCATTCTCATTATTATTGTGTGGCGCATGTGTATCTGGTGCCCCCTTGTACTAAAATTTATGTGTTCAAGTAAATAATAAATAAACAGATCCTAATGTCTGAATTTATTAAATCCGTTCAATATGATTATCTGATTTCTGTTGACCTATTTTAAGAAGAAGAATTTTCAGTTTCAATGAGAAACTGTGATGAATGAAGTTCATTTATGTTTAGTGTAAGACAATCACTTATCGATAATATTTTGAACAGATTAAAGTTAAGAAAAATATATACCATTAATTGGTCAACTCAGTAGTCTAGAAGTAATTTACTAGCCATAAGAGGTTTGAAAATATGCTTTAGCTTCAACCTTTCACTGAGTTTGCACACTATGGAATAGGGTACACATACTAAGACAAAAATATTGTTTACTGATTCTTTTTTTTAAGTGATTTTTTAATTAAAATTTAATCTGTGAAGTGAACTACATTTAATTTGATCTAATCCCTTATGATAACAATATTGGATAATCTCAGTGATATAATGCTACTTAAATGACTAAAGTTTAAATAAGAAAAGTAATGAATATGAACTAAGAACATTCTAGTTTTGAGATTTACTATCAATAAACAAACATTTAACTTTTAGTAAACTAGAAAAATAGAACAAAACACTTATTCAGTAGTTGATATTAGCCGGGAACGATTGTTTGACTACATAACCAAAATGATGAAAAATCCTTTTTTTTAAACATGATTTTATCATTAGTAAAGACGCCAATTAAATTTATATGAAATTCAGCTAGATGTCGACAATTATTATACTTAATTAATTAATTAGTAATCAAAAGGGATAATAATCTATTTACATAATGCATGAAATACATTTGTTTTCTTCTTCAAATAATTGAACATGAAAGAGAATACCAGTAAAAATTCTATGATATATACAAATTATTTCCAACCAAGAAAATTCTTTGTTGGTTTATAGCTATGAGAAAATCAAACAATAGATTTCTATTTCTAGTTGATTTTCGGTGAAAAATTTCATGACCTTAAATGTCTAAGAGTTATTTTTAGTACAGGATTGCAATTTCGAGAGCTAGAGTGAACCATTCTCATCCTCGAATATACTAGAAGATTTGTATCACATATATTATTCTTATCTAGGTTATTACTGTTGCACATAAAAACTTTATCAGAAGTTAGGAAAAATATGCGACTAAGATAATACTTCTGGCTAAAATGTTGAATAATGTGGGAACCTATCGAGTGTTTTAAAAAACATCTTAAAAACGACTAATAGTTGAATAAGTCATAGGATTTAAACATGTAGTTTCAAAATAAATAGTCACGAAGTATACAGAAGATACTAAATCATTCCATGAAACCATTGACTGCTGCCCACAGTCATGGTGATAAATGCTGAATAAGTTGTTGAGATTTACACTATTATTGTGACAGATAGTTCATAATATCGGGTGTTATGATTCAAACTCGATAGTGGTGATACAGATGCATTTACTCTTTATCAACATATAGATCCTGAGATACAAAATTATTTTATAGTTTGTATTCTATGAATTTATGCTTTTTTCTTAAATCATATTCTCTATGGCTAATCGTTTTTATTGTTACTAATATTGCTAGTTCTTTGTTATTCATTTTGATACTTTTATCTCGTTATGTTAAAGTAACCCCATTTGGATCCTTTCTAGGGTTACTTGTGGTGCCATGTCTGGAAGAATGAGGAGGATTGGGTATGTCTTAACAACCCTATTCCGTAAAAAGAACCTTGCTAAAAATCCACTAATCAGTAAAGTTCTTTAAACCATATCGATGTACTGTAGTAATTTCAATAGTTGAGATCGTGAGTCAATTGAAGCTAGACCACCATGGAAAACCTGGACGAAATGGCCGTCCATTGCTTCCAGGTTTTCCATGGTGGTCTAGCTTCGATTGACTCACGATCTCAACTATTGAAATTACTAATCTCCACAAATCCTCTTCTGGTACTGTAGAAACTTAGGCCGATGTGTATATTTATTTCGTTACTAT